ACCTGACACTTGTAGGACAATCAAACTATCCACTCCAAATGTTTATATGGACTATTTGTACCCGACCTGTGGTACAGGCTTCTGAATTCATATTGGTCTGATCAGTCACAGTTGGATACACTGTAACTTGACCCCAACATAGTGATGTCATTTTGATCCTCTTTGACAGTGAAGGACAACAACTAACCAACAGCTTTGGTTACTAGGTCCCTCTCCTGGACACTTTCTCAGTCATTGGCTACCAGGATACTGATATTTTCTGGTTCTCTCCCAGATCGTCTGACTGTTGTTCCTCAACTTTCTTGATGAGTCATAACCCATCTCCTGCTCTCCTATCCTAAGGTGTTGCCCAGAGCTTTGTAGCAGGCCCTCTTCTTGTCTCATCCCATCTCATCTCTTCTATTCTCTCCTTTCTGTCTCTCTTTTTTGTCTCTCCTCTCTTCTTTATTTGTCCTCTTTCTCTTATCTCTGCCTCCTCTTCTTATGCCTCACATTTGGTCATCTGTCAAGTCTTGTCAATTCTGTTTCTAGAAAATCTCTCACATCTACTCCTTCCCCCCCATTCACATGATCATTACCTTAGTTCAGGCCCTCACCACTTCTCCTCTGGATTATTGCCATCACCCCTGATTTGTCTTCCTGATTTTAGGTTCTTTCCAGTCTCCAATCCATCCTTCAACCTAGCAGCCAAATTGACAATCCTAAAACACATTGCTGACTATATCACCATCTTAGTCAAGAGTTTTCCATGGATCCACATTGCCTCTAAAGTAATAGAAAAACTCTTCAGCCTGGCATTTAAAGTTATGCACAGTCTGGTTTCCATCTATCCTTCCAAACATTCATATTATTTCCCTTACCCTACATTCCAGCTAAAACAGCCTACTAGCTATTCAATGATCTTAACCATCTCTGTCATCTCTGGTGCCCTTTCTCAGGCTATTTTCCTCTCATACTTCTCATGCCTTTCCTTTGCTTCTTGGAATCCTTAGCTTCCTTCAGTTTACATCTCTGATGCCACCTCCTTTGCAAAACCTTTCCTGTTCCATCTTCCACCAACCCCACCCCCATCTTTGGTTCTCTCTTCCTCATGCAATTACTTTGTATATACTAATCTGGGTATGTGATACATAGTCTATCCCCCGGTAGGATATAAGCCACACAGCAAATGGCTTCATTTTTGTTACTGTATTACCAACATCTAGCCCAGTGCCTTACACATAGTAAGCAATCAATAAAGTTTGTTGAACTGAACTGAATTGAAAGGAATGAATGTTAGACTGTGGGGTACTAGAAGTTGGTAACAAGGCAAACTAGAACCTGGATAGAAAGGTTCTTCCTAGCTACTGAATAGTATGATTAGAGAGATGATTCATCTATACTCTGTTTACCATTATAGACAGAATGGGAAAAAATTTTGAATACAGTCCTACCTTCAGGGAAAAGCTGGTAGGTTCAGCCTCCAGGAGAGAAGTTAGCTCCTTTTCCTCAAGAATTCAACAAACATTTATTGAGCACCTGCTACGCACCAAATCCTGTGTTTAGCATTTGGTGGGAAAACCAAAGATGAATCATCTATTGTCTCTGTCTTCACAGAGCTTACAGATGGGTTGGGATAATGACACTCACATGTGAAAGGGTTGTGTACCAGTGCCTCTAGAATCACTCTCCTTATCATTCTGAGAATCTATATGAGACTTAGGTTCAAGAAGCTGTACTTGGCTAGGCCTCTACCCCCTAGAAATTCGTCCTATTTAAAGAAAGCCCTTGAAAAACTCACAGAGCACGAAGCAAACTTCTTGGTTAGGAAGCAAAATAAGAACACTAAGATTAAGGAGATCCAGTCACCTCCCAAGGTCAAGGTTCTCCTCCACCTGAGTCAAATTTGATCTCTTCCCACATTCCCCATCTTGCCTTTGGGCTCTTGGGAGTGGGCAGCAGCTAGTTCTTTTGGCTCCTCATGTACTCCTCGGTCTTCCAATGCATCTGTCACTCATCAGGGAGATGGAAGCGTCTCTTGGAGTGTGCTGATTATGCTACATTCTCAGAATGTTAAGGGATTCTTGGCCACTCCATGTGCTTACTCCTCATATTGTGCTGATTGATCTGCACCAATAAGATGATAACAAAGTTCCCTCTGACTTAACCCAAGTACAAGGGAGAGATTATTGCCTATTCCATCTCAGCCCCAGGGATGGAATGGCAATTTGTACCCATGTTATTATCCATGTGGGTGTTTCACCCATTTGGAACAACCATATTATTCCCTTCAACCTTCTTCATCTTCTTTGCCTTTCTCTTTCTTCCATCTTCTTCCAGTGTCTTTTCCAAAAATTACTGCTTCTCTATTAAGAGCTCAGGCTGGGGTTACCTGCTGCACACATAATAATATAAAATAGAGTACAAAAATACATAAAGATAAGCAAAGTACCACGAACATTCAAAACAGGAAGACATTGCATTTGGTTGAAGAGATCAGGGAAAGCTTCAAGGAGAAGGTGACATTTCATAGGATCATAGATTATGTTTAGAAAGGACCTTAGAGGGCATTGAATCTAACCTCCTCATTCTATGGATGAGGAAACTGAGGCTCAATAACTTGCCTGGGGATCACACAGCTTATATCTGAAGTAGAATTTGAACCTAGGTCTTCCTGACTTCAAGTTCTTTACTCAATCTACATGAAGTAGTAATTTCATGATATCATTATCTGAATCTTGAAGAATGGATAGGATTTTTATTGGGAGAAAGGTAGAGGACAGACATTCTAGGCAGAGGAAAAAAAGAGCAAAGGCAGATAAGATGTATTTAGGGAATTAAATTCAATCCAATTTAATGAACATTCATTAAGCACCTACTATGTGCCAGGCACTGTGCTGAGCACTAGAGATACAAAAAGGGGCAAAAAACAGTCCCTGCCCTCAAGGTGCTTATAATCTGATGGGGGAGACAACATGCAAACAAATATATACAAAACAAGCTATATGTAGTATAAATAGGATATAATGGAAAAAAGGGAAAGCACAGTAATTAAAAAGGCATCCTGTAGAAGGTGGGATTTTGGTTGGGACTTTAAGGAAGCCTGGGAGGTAAATGCTGAATCATCCAGTTTGACTGAAGGAAGAGTATTGGAAGATGGGGTGGGCAAGGTAGTTGGATTGTAGAGGGCATTTGATGTGTTTGTTAAAGATTCAGCAATTCAACACTCATTTTAAAATGCCTAGTATGTGAGAAGCCATCTATTAGGCTCCAGAAGAAATAGAAAGCTTTGGGAGGCCAATTACCTGTCTTCAAGGAGTTTCCAGTCCAGAACACACAAATAACTAGAATACACACACAGTATTAGGCACTGGGAGAGAGATAGGAAGTTTGGATAAGATCCATTACCTGTCCTCAAAGAGCTTCCAGTATAAAGATTCACAAATGAGTATAATACAAAGTTCATTAACAGTAAAGTTATTCCTAAAAGGGTATCAGATAAGGCATCAAGGTGGAAGTAATTATCTGAGTTGGGCTTTCAAAAATAGGTAGGAATTTAATGGATGAAGGGGCAGAGGGAAGGCATCCCAAGCATAGGGAATATCTGGAGCAAAGAGATAGAGACAGAAGGCTACAGGATGTTTGGGACTCTGGGGTTTTGTTCAGTTTACTCAGAGCATACAGTTCAAGAGGGGAATGACATGAGACAAGGCTAAAAAACAAGGGTGCTTCCAGATTGTGAAGGACTTTGAATCCCAGGCTGGGGAGCTCAAACTTTTCTACCCTAGGCAATGGAGAGCAAGATTTCTGGGCAGAGGAAAGGGAGACGAGCAGAGTGAGGTGTCCAGATCTCTACATAAGGAAGATTGGGGTAGAGTGTAAGGGAGATTGGAAGAGACGAGAGTGGGGTTGGAAAACCCTAACAGAAGATTAGACCCTGCACCTTTTCTCCTTTCATCCAACTTGGTCCCTGAGAATGTCTCGCCTTCTCCTAGCTGAGCTTCCTGGGCTTTGGGATGGGGACTCCATAACCCTTGAGTTTGCAAGAGTTTCGGAAAGGGAGCGTTCTGGCCAACAAGCTCCAGGCCTTTTCAGGGCTGGCAACCGAGAGACAGCCATCCAGGGGCTCGGATCCGTGAGGTACGAAAGAAAGAAACTGCTCTTGGAAAAAGAATGGTTGGAAAAACAAAACTGTGTGGGTGTCTTGTATTCTTCTTGGCAAGCGCTGCCGGCGGCGGGCGGGCCGAGGACTCGCAGACGCACAGTAGGGGAGGGGGAACGGCTGGGTTCGGCGGGCCGGCGGGGCTGCCCCCCTCCCCCAGCCTGCTTCCCTTCTCCGAACTAAGCCCAGCCCCGGTCCTCAGGAGCGGAGGTCGGTGGGAGGCGGTGAAGGGGGGAGGTGGGAAGGGGGAAAACTGGGGGCAGGGAGGGGTCTCGCTAGGCTGCTACAACAGGGGCTGCTGTTCCTGGACCTGGATAGACTTGGGACAGGAAGGGGGTTTTGCAATGAAAGAGATTCAGGCTTAGGCTGGAGCAAGACTGAGTTTTAAGACTTCGTTCCCAGACACCCTCCTCCCTTCTGCTTTTCCACTCTCCTCAGTCTCTCCTTAACAAGGCAACTTTCTTCTCTCTCTGCCTGTGAGAGTGCACCTCAGTCCTCCGTCTCTCTGCGTCTTTGGACTCTCTCTCCTTCTCTCCTGTTTTTGTCTTTCTGTCCTTTTTCCTCTCCTCTCTTCTTTCCGATTTCTTTCTTTTCTACTTCTCCCTTTATCTTCTCTTCTTCTTCTTCTTCTTCTTCTTCTTCTTCTTCTTCTTCTTCTTC